ATATACATACAGATACATATATATATATATATGTATGCGCACACACACACACCCTTCTTTTAATCTTTCCAGCTCGAATACATGTTTCGATGCTTAACTACATGCTTCGATAAATGTCTAAGTGCATTTGTTTGTCCGCTTCTTTACATCAGGACCGGGCGCCCAAAGCGTAGCCGGCGTTTGCACCCCAGAGGGAGCCGACGAACGCGCGGCGACCGCTCGAATAAGAATCCTGCTGCTGCACGGCTTTGTACCGGTTTTACCAGGTTACTATATGAGGGTTTTTAACAGAAGGTTCTATATGGATTTATGACCCTGATGGGATTCTATAGCAGCTCAGTGCTTTAATAGGGTTGTTACAGGGGTTGTATGGGAAAGGATGGGATTTAGGGTTTTAGCGTGCATAGAGGTGTCGGGATCCATGGCTGGCTTTAGCTTCTGGGGCTTCAGGACCCAGAGAACCCAATACCCCGTAATTAAGGAATATACCTTAAATTATAGGGGCCTTCATATTATGATTTAAGGCATATTCCTTAATTAAGGGGTATTGGGTGCTCTGGGGAATGCTTCTTCTGGAATTACGCTACACACTTGTGCGGAGCTGTGCTCCCTGCGACCTTGAAGCAGACCTTTAAACCCTAAACCCTAAACCCTAAACCCTAAACCCTAAACCCTTACAGGGAAAAAACCGCGAGGTTCACCGGAGCGACCTCGAGACAGACCCGAACGGTAGGGTAATATAGGGGCCTCAAGAAGTAGAATAAGGTTTTGGGTCTATTGTACTATAATCATAATAAGGAGCCTCCCCAAAATAGTATAGGGCCCCTACATTCTTAGGGAGCCCCTAATCTCGGCTCTCAAGTTTCAGAGTGAACCGGCCTTCCATCTCTTCGCCATGCTGGTGACCGTCACCTGCGGCTCGGCCCGAGCTAAGAAAGAAAGGGTTTAGGGTTTACGGTTCAAGAAGCCTTCGATGATGACTAGAAAACATTGCATATGAGTTTTTTGATGGTCTAAATGATGTGATACTGCTGATATGTCTGTCAATCTCTCCGTTTTTGCTGCCAGCAGAGTTATACATCACATCCCAGCAAACATCCGTGCCTCAAGCGGGCGTCGACAGCATGGGCAGTTCGTGTTGTACCACTTGTAAGTCTGACCTTGGCTTGTATATCGGGATGCTAGCGCGTTGAGGCACTTACTGGCAAACTCTGGCAGCCTAAAGCCCTAACGAATACTATCGGTATTTGCCCTAAACCCTAAACCCTAAACCCCAAACCCTAAACCCTAAACCCCAAACCCTAAACCCTAACTACATTAGGGCAAGGGGCCGTACTGGTCGGGGCGATACAAGATCTGCTCCGTCGTTGTCAGCGGCGATTGAAGACGCAGAGTCCCCCAAAATTGCTGCTCCTCCATCTCAAGCTTCTCCTCGACCACACTTACTTGGAGGTTCATGGGTACTTGTAAGTAGGGTTATAAGTCCCCTAATATGGGCTATAACTATAGTTAGCTTACTTATAACTCCACTTATAACTACCCATGAACCTCCAAGTAGACAGGTCCTACGTAAGGGGGTAGATCGTCTAAGTAGTCTATCTGAGCTTCTACAGGACTTACAAGCTCGCTTACTATACCACCTTTTTCCCTTCCCGTAAGACTGGGCAGGGCCCCTTCATCTTCTGCGTATCTCTCCGAAACCGCTCGCAAGAACGATGGTATCACCCCAAACCCCAAACCCTAAACCCTAAACCCTAAACCCTAGCTTTGGGCTGGGAGCGAGCCTTTCCTACGAGGCCACCCTACATCGACTTGAAGGCCCAGAGACTCCAATATTCCTAGGAATATTCCTGAAATTATAGTAGGATCCTTGATATGATTTAAGGTATATTCCTTAATTAAGGGATATTGGAGTCTGCAGGCCTTCTTATACCCCCGACTGAGAACCTCATAACCCGACCTATAACGAGGCCCGTCCACAAATCCAACTCCTAGAAGCCCTGAACCCAGCATTTGTTCTGTGAAGCCGTCCAGAACTCTGACCCTAAACCCAAACCCCTAAACCCTAAACCCTAAACCCAAACCCCTAGAAAGCTGTGTGTCGAACCCCTTGTCTGCCGGTGTCTGCCTTCTCGACTTCGTAGCACTTCTCCCTCCACCAGACCCTCGGATGTCGGGTCTGGGGTTCAGGGACTGGGTTTGGAGTAGATTTTAGGTTTAGGGTTTAGGGTTTAGGGTTTAGGCTGTTTAGGGTTTAGGGTTTAGGGTTTAGGGTTTAGGGTGTTGCTTGCTGCATGGAGCTTTTTAGGATCTTAGTGTTTGGGGTTTACGGTTTAAGGGTTTCGGGGTCGTGTCGATTTGGGGTTTACCCGCTTCGAGCTTTCAGGGCTCTAAGGTTTCTCGTTGAGATCTTTCCGGCTGTAGATTTTCGGGGGTTTCATTATCACAATTATGGTATCATGGGCCCCAAAACCCCATTCTAATCATGAAGGCCCCCCGTATTAGAAACTTATCCTTGACCCCCGCTTCGGGCTTGGGGTCCTCGCCTCACACCAAAAAAAAGCTGTTCTGAGTCAGTGCCACGGCTCTTCTCGTGATGTAATATATCTACGCGGCGCTTCAACCACGCCACCTGGCATGGCCCCTCTCGGTTCAGGGATTTAATAGAGGAGCCTGAATAATTAGAATAGGGTTTGTTTAGCCCACTATACTATAACTATCATAACAAAACCCCCACAAGAGTGTCAAGGCCCCTAGATTAGGGTTTTGGGGCCCGCGTCACTAAGAGCTTGCGGCCGCACCTCCTCATCTCTGGGGTCAGGTGACACCAGTTCTTCCGCCTGGCCGTGAGTGCAGATACGGTATGATACAACGAACCGACATGCCAGTATCCGTATGTGCACATACATACATACAGACAGGCAGGCAAGCAGACAGAAAAGCCAGACATACATGCATGCATGCATTCATGCATACAAAACCCAACGCACGCACGGACGCACGATACATACATCTGTGAGAGTCTGATTCCCAGGCTTGTCTTGCCCTCGTCACCCTAAACCCTAAACCCTAAACCCTAAACCCTAAACCCTAAACCCTAAACCCTAAACCCTCGTCAGGCTGCGTCTACTCCGGGAGCCGAGGGCCCAGGCCTTCCTCGGCGAGAGCAGTCGCTGCAAGGCGTAGGTCTCCGGGTCGATGCCATCCGAGGCGGCAGCACCCATCGGGGTTTAGGGTTTAGGGTTTAGGGTTTAGGGTTTAGGGTTTAGGGTTTAGGGTTTAGGGGTCTATTGGGGATGAACCAAGGACCCAGAGAGCCCCATACCCCTTAATGAAGGAATATACCTTAAATCATAATATTAGGGCCCCTATAATTTAAGGTATATTCCTTAACTAAGGGGTATTGGGCTCTCTGGGGAGGGTAAGGCCCTTTTCCACCTACCTGGTTGCAAGGGACTGGATCGGGCAATGCCACCGGTATAGTGGGGAGCACACTTAAGCCCCGCAAACAGCATGACAGTGTAGTCTTTCATCCATGCCCTGCATGAGAGGCCAGCAACTAAGGATCTTGTTGTCAAGTGAAGGACTTCAGGCTTCCGGTGAAGGAGCTTGGGTGTTAAGGTCACGGATCTCAGGGCTGAGGGCCTAGGGGTTTAAAGGTTAAGGGTTGAGGGATTTTAAGGTCCCAGAGGGCTCTTCTGATTGACAGTGCTCTGCTCTGGCTTTGGAGCTTCAGGGTGGGCTCTCTTCTTTCAGGGGAGGCTGGAAGAAAAGGTTTGTAGGGGTCACAGCTCGGGCTCTGGGGGTTTTGGAAGCGGCTCGGTACTTCAATTCTCCAAAAAATCTGTTTACAAGCCACTCTCGGCTCCCAGTGGTCGTGCTTTAGCTTAATCCGTCCCCAACATCCCTGCTGGAACCAGCCGCGGCGAAAAGCAAGGCTGCCATGAAATGCCTTGATGAGGGTGGCCTCAACCCAAGTCTCCGAAGCCTCCAAAAGGGTCACCCAAGCACCACCCAAAGAACGGCCGCTCTCAGCGCTTCAGCTGCTATGCTCTGCCATGCAGGGAGCCTTCATCTCCCGGATGGATGCCGCAATCCTTACTCCAAATCTTGACACGTGCTTCTGGTTCTTTGTTGGGGCTATAGTAAAAGTGATCATTGTTAATCCCTATTGAGTTTTATTATAACCAAAATGTAAAATTGCAGCCAACAAGGACCCAGGCTTGAAGCGAAGCAAGGAGGCGCTCTCAGGGTGTTGGGGTGTTTAGGGTTTGGAGGCTTATGATTACTCGCTCCAGCAACAACCCTGAGCGGCACGGGAACGAAGAAAAGCTCACAAGTCCATTCCACCTCAGAAGGCGCTAGCTAGATCACTGAGGTGATGGTGCGAGCACTGATGTCGATACTTTGCAGCTCCACTCAACCAGCCTTGCCGCCTAAATCCCTAGATCCCTGGACCCGACGAGATGTTGATTGGCATCCGAAAAGCATTGTTTCAGATATTTCCACCTGGGATTGTCCAATGGGATTTTCTCTTTTCATGGGTACTCTAATCTCTCCAGCAACCCCCTTTGCTGAATCCTCTTTTTGGCTTCCGATATCTTTAAATCTAATAAAGCCTGGAGAACCTTTCGAGCTTGTCAAGAGCTGAGGCAGCAATTCGTCTCCAAAATGTTCATTAAACTGCCAACATGTCATTCCACCCTATGTAGATTATGTCGGTCTGAACAATTCGCTGATGTCCGCTCGATTTCATCATATTAGTCAAACCTGTCGCTGTCTGGGACTGACCCTGGTGTAAGTATCGGCATTGTGGCGTGTTCTGTCCGCCACTTTGGCTGCGACCGCTGACCACGCAAGTCCGGATGAACCCCGAGCAAAACCCCGAAACACCCCCACACCCCCCTAAACCCTAAACCTTATAGTAGCCCTTGTAGAACCCTTTGAGGAACCCCTTACAGGAACCCCTTAAAGGAACCCTCCCCGGTTTCACTGCTAGCTATGAGACTTGTCCCTGCCAGGGCGCTCGGTCTCTCCAAAGACTCGGTCGAAGAGAGGGTTCTCGAAGACGCTGCTGAGGAAGGGCCTCAGAAAATGGGGCGGGCTTGAAAAGAGGCTTTAGGGGGACTTCAAGGGGGAGCTCAAGAGGGCTTCAATGTAAGGAGGCTAGAAAAAGGGGGCTGAAAGGGGTCAAGGAGCCTTTGTAATTGAAGTCTTGCAAAGGGGCGGAGTTCAGATTTCAGGGTGGTTTGTTGAACAAACCCTGAAAGACTGGTGTAGCGCACTTAGTAGAGCTTTACCAGTATCCTCAACTCCGAAGCCCGACCCAAGCCCCTGAACCCCAACCTACATCCTCAACCCCACGACCTTAAACCCTAAACCCTAAACCCCCAAGCCCCAAGCCCTCAATCCCTAGACCCCCAAACCTGGAATGCGAACCGAGACCGGGGAACGCAGCCAGGGCCACGGCATCTCTCCTAATCGGGCACCGAAGCGGTCCCAGGAAGAGCTGTGCGCCTTGCGAAACACAAGCAGCGACATGGGGCTTACTTGGAGGTTCGTGGGTAGTTATAAGTAGGGTTATAAGTCCCCTAATATGGGTTATAATTATAGTTAGCTTACCTATAACTCCACTTATAACTACTCATGAACCTCCAAGTAGAGTTCAGGGTCTAGGGTTTAGAGTTTAGGATTTGGGGTCTAGGGGTCATTTTGGGTGTCAGGGCTCTTCTACGTATACCGTGCTATTGAGACCTATGTTTGCTCGTAAATCGTACACACCACACGTATAAGAACACGTCAAATAAGAAGTTGGCAGAACCCTTGCCCATTTTGAGTAATAATACCACCAGTCAACCCATTAGAAGATTCTTCCTATACTCCCCCCTACATCTTACCAACTATACCACCACTACTACCCCATTACCAATACCTGTATAGGAATAACCAGTTTCCCAATCTATGTTCCCGAAGGTGGTATTATCATCTCGAAGGCCCCCGCCTAGATTTTACGAGGTTTAGGGTTAAAGGTTGTGATCAGAGTATACTCATAGTGCAATGCCTCTTATAAAGTATGTTTATACTATACCTATGAATGCATTATCCTACACAGTTTGGCAAACGAGTTGTCTTCACTGGTTTGCTTTGGTTGCTTACTCTTGGTATCCTTTACTTCATCGTTCATAGGAACTTCAAGTATCACCTTTTCCTGCTTGTTGAATATGATAAAATAATTCTCAAGAAACTCATCGATGAGCAGTAATTGTCGTGTATGGTTAAGCACAGTAACGATTTCTGATGGCTGATCGTTTTGATTTCTGCATTTATGAATATACTCTTTCCTCGTCTCTTTACATTGAGCACAATTTGCAAATGTTTTATTATGCCTGTTGTATCCGAACTCGTCAGTCGCTTTTTAACTGCGACAACTTGTGCAAACAACTTTCGAACCTTCCATTTTGTATATAAAGCACACTATCCTTTTAACTCATTTCTCCTTTTAACATTGAAACTCATTTCTTTCGTTTATCATTGTGTTTTTTGCTATCTAAAGATTCACAACAACTAAGGTAATTGGTTGATTATTCCTATACAGGTATTGGTAATGGGGTAGTAGTGGTGATATAGTTGGTGAGATGTAGGTGGAGTAGAGGAATACTCCTCTTATATGGATGAGGTAGTCGGTTATTTCTATACAGGTATTGGTAATGGGGTGGTAGTGGTGGTATAGTTGGTGAGATGTCGGGGGAGTATAGGAAGAATCTTCCAATGGGTTGACTGGTGGTATTATTACTCAAGATGGGCAAGGAGTCTGCTAACTTAAGTTGCTGCATGCAGGGAACACAACGTTCCCTAAACCCTAAACCCCTAAACCCTAAACCCTAAAGCCTAAACCCCTAAACCCCTAAACCGCTAAACCCTAAACCCGTTTGAGCTGACCCGATCTCCGAAATGTTGAGAGCAGGCCTGGGACACGACTAGCGCAGACTCCGGCTCCGCAGCCTGCGCCGCCTGGGCACCGGCCTGCGCGATCCCCAACGGAAAAGAAGCCACCCTCCAGGGTTTAGAGTTTAGGGTTTAGGGGTTTAGGGTTGAGAGTTTAGGGGTATGGGGTTTAAGGGCCTAGGGCCCGAAGCCCGAAAAATCCAAAAAGAAAAAAACCGCGAAGCCTCACCTGAGATGCGAGGACACTTCCGACATGCTCTGCTCTGCCCTTGATTCAAAACCTCGGCTTCCGCTTTCGAACAGCTTTAATGTAGGGGCCTTAAAAATTGGAGTAGGGTTTTGGGATCCATTATGCTCTAATTATAATTATAAGGACCCCCCAACAGGCCCCTAGATTATACTCAACTCCACATTGAAGCCCAATACTCGGTTCTCATATGATACGGAAATTTATTGCCAAAGCTAGGATACATGGCCGCGCCATCCCTAGATCCCAAACCCCTGACCACACGCCCAGGACCTAAAATATCTCAAAACCTGAAATTTCTGAACTCAAGAGCCACCTCAAAGCCTAAAGCCTTCAAGACCCAAGTTCGAAGCCCTTGAAAGTCCTCAACCCGAATAATGTAGGGGCCTTAATAGCTAGAAAAAAGGCTTTGGGCTCCTTTATAGTATAATTATAATGAGCCCCCAAAATAGTGTAGGTAATTATTTAGGCCCCTATATTACCCTGTCAGCCTCAAAGGACCTGAGAACAACACCCTAACCAAAAGCTTGGCCCTGAAATCGAAAGAATCCAGAGACTCCAATATCCCTTAATCAAGGAATATACCTTAAATCAGATGAAGGATCCTACTATAATTTAAGGAAAACCCTAAACCCTAAACCCTAAACC